ATCCAGTTTGTGGTATTTTGTTATAGAAGTCCTTGCAAACAAATCTGCTATCTTAAGACGACATCAACCATTAAATAAAAGGCACTTCAATGAAGTGGTCCTTTTTTCTCTTTTGCTGTCATCCTGGGATGAACAGCACATAGAGATAAATCAATGAGTAATTCAGCCTGAATTCACATCACAAAGGACTTTAATCATCAAATGGGGAATTAAACACAAAGTCCCTCACTAATCCAACATCAAGGTTATACACGCTAAAACTTTGATATAGGTCTAAAATAGGATTACATATAGGGTCAAGAAAGGGTGACAGGGCAATGCATTGAAAGTAAGAGGAAAACCCAGGTACCTCTCACAGTTCTTACTTGGAGAACACGCAATTATTAACCTTGAACAACCTGAATACCATAGTAGGTGATTATATACCACTGGGTGGGAAAAGACCCTAATATTTAAAATGTTATAAGACAAATATTGATAAAATTTATCTCTCTATATATATGTAATATATTTTACTTCCTTTATGCATCATGGTGTGTTTCTGTGGTAGATTTAAAAGTTAAATTTGAACTGCTAAAACAAGTAACTCGAAATAATTTTTTCTAGTATATTGTTAAAAGCTAGTATGATATCAATTTTGATACAAATGTATGCTAAGAAATGTTTTTCTTTTTACTTACCATCGTTTTTCTAAGATTATTTAGATGGAAGCACATATTTGAGCCGGAAAGCTTTTACAACTGATGGCTGCTCTTAAACGAACTGTGGGGTTTTATATTTTTTAAATTATCTATTAAAATCAATATTTCCTGTTTTGGAGAAGCTATACCTCTTTTTTTTTTAGTTGGAGTTTTACTCTGTCACCCAGGCTGGAGTGCAGTGGCACAATCACAGCCATCCCAGAGGCAACCTGCTGGGCTCAGGTGATCCTTCTACCTCAGCCTTCCAAGTAGCCAGAACTACAGGTGTGCACTACCTCGCCTGGCTAATTTTTTGATTTATTGTAGGGATGAGGTCTCAACAAGTTGCCCAGGCTGTTCCCAAACATGTGGACTCAGGCAATCCTCTCACCTCGTCCTCCCAAAGTGGTGGGATTACAGGTATGCCTCTTTTTATAAAAAATTATTATACTTACATTAAGATTGTCAGTGCTAAAAAAAAAATGATCAGTACTAAATTAAATTTAACCTTGATCATACTTTCTCCTTCAGGCCACCAGCCATCACCTAAAATGGATGCCTTTCACCCTATTTATAAGTTTTCTACTTACTGGTTCACTGTTCTAAAGAAGCCCCTCTAGTTTAGTGCAATGTGTTAGTTTCCTACAGCTACTGTAACAAATTACCACAAATGTAATGGGTTGAAACAATGTGTTTATTCTCTTATAGTTCTAGGAGCCAGAAATCCAAAATCTTTTTCACTGGGCTACAGTCAAAGTATCAGCAGGGCTGGTTGCTCTGCAGGTTCTTGTTGGGAGCCAGCCGTGGAGGCCTGCCTGAACGTTAGGGATCCAGGTGGGCTGCGGACCCTGAGACCACCAGGTTGGGTTCAGGAGCTGAAGGCCCATTTCCTCCTCCCTTCTTTGTTGTTTGGCATGACCCACTAGCAGGGACTTTGATGATCTAAGTATGAAGTTCTGAGAGTATGACAGGCATGGCTGACTCTAGGGACCCATTGTTCCCGTTTCTCACAGACTGCAGTTTCGGCTTTAAACTTAACACAGTTCAAACTCGGGTCACATTTGGGAGCCTTATATATGATACAAGCTTCTTTATAAGATTTAAAAGTATATTTGTAGAATTAGTATATACATTTAGAGAGCTGTTTCCAGCTTTGGATGGTATAGACGATTATCTAGAGTTACCAGAAATGACCCAGCACGAACTTTGGACTGGGCCACATTCCTAAGGGCCCAGCATCCACTTTGGGCTGGGCTACATTCTTTTAAACCAGTTTTTTAGTTACAATTAGTGTAGATTTTTTCTACTTATTATAGACGCTGAATTTATTTTATTCATAGAAAGAATTGTAGAATGTCATGCTACGTCAGGGAATTATGCTAGTTCAAGCATGATCAAACATACTTTGAGGTTTTATAAGAATATAGCTAACTTTAGAAATTTCATTGTTCCCACTTTCTACTAATTGCGGTTTTGACTTTAGTACAACTACAGTTTGTATTTGGGTTTTATTTTAGAAGCTTTATTGCTGATGATCAGTTTTATATATTAGGATTAGGAATTCGAAACTTTTATAGAAATTAAGATAGATACATAGGATTTTAGAATAGCCATTTTGTTAAGAGATTATAATCAATTGTTCCTGGAAATGGCCAAGCGTGATCTTTGGACTGGGCCACATTCTTTAGGAACTGGTTTGAGCTATAATCAAGAGTTTTTTATAGTACAGGTAAAATTAGCACAGAATAGAAAGGTATTAGGATTTAAGTCAGTCATTAGGAATTGGGAATGCATAAGTTTTAGAAGTTATTGATTATTAGAATATTATGATGTTAGAATTGTTGTATTGTTTGTGAGGAACATTAACCAAGCATAAGGAACAGTGAAATAATATTGGGATTGTCCTTCCTCATGCTTTAGAAAACACCTGGTGGGTGGGGGGATGCCCCTCATCCACCTGGCTTAGTGTTCACATGAAAATCTCGTGATCTTGCCTGTGAAACTTTAGGATAAAAGGTTTACGGTTTGCCTCATTAAATCAGCTTCTGCACTAGACAGAGTCCAGTCTCTTTCTTTCTCCCCCTTTCTCTTTCTTTCTCTTTATTTCTCCAGAATAATCGCCGACGCTGCCCCACCTTCCAGGGACCCTCTAAATCTCTCTGCAGGGGCTGGCCCCCTGTAGGTTCTGAAGGAAGAGTTTCCTTACCTTTTCTAGGGTCTGTTCCTTGTATTTCTTGGCTCATTTCCCCTTCCCTCCATCTCAAAGCCAGGGCACAGCATTTTCTATTTCTTTCTGTTTTGGTCACATCACCATCTTCTTTGTAGTCAAATCTCTGCCTCCTCTTAAAACAGTCCTTTTGATTACATTGGGCTCACCTGAATAATCCAAGATAGTCTCCCCAGTTCAAGATCCTTAACTTCATCACAACTGCAAGCCCGAACACTCACAGGTTTCAGAGATGGGGATATGAACACCTTCTAAGGGACTATTATTCATCCTACTGCAGGCAGTGTGCTTGGGGGCAGGCAGGGATAGGGAGAAGGTTGGGAAAAATGCTCCAGTGATAATAATCACTTTCTGATAATTAATCACACATATATGTTAAATGCTTACTATGCTTACCATGTGCCCACCTTGGCACCATCTTGGACCCTCTATAAGCACCAATTTATTTAACCTACAGTATCCTGGGAACAGGGATGACATTCATTGGCACACACTGATGGGCATGTGTCAGTAATTCTCAGCACCTCTGACAGGTCATTGTCCATGCCCAAGGCTCCTCAACCTGAAAGTGGCAGAGCCAGAATTTATACCTGGGTGCTCTGGCTCCAATGTCCACAAGTCTGACCACTCTGCCCTTCTGCAGTTCCTGCCCCCTCATTCTTTGAGAAGTAATCTGCTGTCAAGAGACAGTGACAGACAGTGGATCGTCATCTGAGGGCACTGAGAAGTGGAGTTTTAGAATGAGGACTTTATAGTTTGTGTCCTTACTCGCCTCACATTTTTCACATTTGAGGAATACAAGGCCTCGAAATTAAACAGTTCCTTGAAATGGAGAGTTGAATTGATTTACCCAAGGCCATATAGCTGTCATGGCAAATCCACTGGGGACATCTTGTGTTCTTCCCACCTGCTCTAGGCTCAGAACCCTCACTCGGCCCTCCACATCCCATGTTATGGACTGAATCATGTCTCCTTAAAATTTAAATGTTAAAGTCTCAACTGCCTGTTCCTAAGAACAACTATATTTGGGGACAGGGCCTTTAAAGAGGTGATTATGGTTAAATGCGGCTTCTAGAGTGGGCTTTAATCCAGTATGGCTGGTGTCCTATAAAAAGAGACACCAGGGATCAAATGCATAGAGGGAAGGCCATGTGAGGATATAGTGAGAAGGTAGCCATCTGCAAGCCAAAGAGAGGCCTTGGGAGAAACCAGTCCTGATGACACCTTGATCCTGGACTTCCAGCCTCCAGAATTGTGAGAAAATAAACATCTATTATTTAAACCAACCATTTTGTTATCACAGTCCTAGGAAACTAGCCCATGGTCTAGATTCCTAGGGTTTCCAAGAGGGGAAAAATATAATGAAGTTTCTAAGTAATTTGTGATATCTATAAAAGCCTAAGGGAAATGTCCAAAATGTGGTCTAACTAAAATTCCAGGTTTCACTGCTTTTAGGTAGAATGGCACCAATACAATATGGTAACACCAACTATCTCATACTCATCTGAAACTTTAATGAGCAACATACGCCTTTGATTAATTTAAAATGAGAAAAATGTTTGAGTGTTCGATAAAGTTGATTTGTTTGATCAATAACAAACTCAGGTTTTCTGATGAAGAGAAGGTTGAGCAAGCATTGCTTTAAGCCCCCAATTCCTTTATCTGGATCATTCAGGACCCATGCTGCTTAATCCTCTTCAAATTTCTACAGCTCTTTCGGGGATGAACTGAGCAAATTAAATGGCTTTAGTCATTTTTCACATCAGGGGTGTTGAGAGCCACCATTGTCAAATCTGGGAGTGTTCCTGACCTTGGCAGGATGCTGTATTTGGTTATTTTCCTGAGAGTCAATGAAATTTTAGGTGAAAATGATCCCAAGATAACAAAATATAATAACAGTCTAATTAAACAGGTGGGTGGACCTAGCTCTTTAATCTAATGCAAGCAAAATTAAAAAGCCAGGCTACTCAGTACAAGTACGAAGGTATCGAGTGTCCTCAGCAGAATGTATCTGAAAGCTTGAAAAACAGTCCTTTGGGCAAAAATGTACATTTTATTTAAAAAATAATAGCAAAAGGGCGAAGGATACAAACTTCTATTAATAACAGAAGTTTATTAAATGTTTTATAGTAAAATATTGAGCTCACTCTATTATAATACACAGGCTGAATGTTCTAACAAGTAACACCATGCCTCGACAGAGGAAAGCTTATGACACAAACACAAGGTGGAATTGTGGGCAGCTACACAAACAGATGTATCCCCTTCCTGCTTGTCCACAGCTGCAGTTCTGGTGTTCAGAAATGTTTTGGCATTGGGCAAAACCTGTAAGATTTCCTGAGTGTTCCATTAAACAATTCTCAAAATTATGTTACCTTAATGGAAAACATGAATATTTTCTGATGGAAACATCCATTTTAACATTTATTATCTTCAATAGCTGAAAACCACAATCCTAAAAAGGTATTATTATACCATAAGAAAGTCTTTGGGATGATTGTAAGGCTTTCCAGCACAAAGTACATATCAAGGCAATTTATCAAGGACTAAATATTTGTGTACCATCAAGCCAGGGTATGCAAAAATAAAAGAAAATGTCAAGGTTAGTTGATTGTTTTCCAAATACCAGGATCTAAAAAATACTGGGAGAAAATAATGATGTGGGAATGAGTGGATATTGGATGGTAACAGACGGCTAGAAAAAGCTACTAGAACTAATTAGCATTAACTAGCATTTAATGTATCTCTTCATTAGCCAACATTTTCTTCATGTATATAATTATTTTAAATTAGCATTTCTACACATTATATTGTTTCATTCTTTTTTTAATGTCAGTTTGCAAGAAATCTTTGATTCTGAATATCTAAAGTTATAGCTAATAGCATTTTGACGTGTATCCCTAAGTATACCTGGAATTCTCAGTCATGGCTCTTGGATACATTTTTTCTTGATAAAACATCATTAAAAACAGAATTGATGCTGAAAAAAAAATACCATCTACCTAAAGCTCAGAATAAGATTTACGACCAACTTCACCAATTCATATTACTGAGCTCACATGGAAATGACATCTTTTTCCTTTTAAATAATCTAACCCATCCTATACAAGGGCAATTATTCAGAAAATCACATACTAAGATTTGTACTCATACTCATTTATAGCTATATATTGAATACAGGGCCTGAATTTGGTATTTCTAGTCCACACTTTGGTACCCTATGTTTTCCATACTGGATACTTCATTCTAGGAATATAATAATCAATGAACAAACTTAAAAGTAAAGAAAAGGAGTTTTGATTTGGGTGCAAGTGTTTTGCATTCATATTAATATCAATAAAAGAGATCTTGCCTTCAAAAGAAATGGAAAAATAAAAGCATATGTGATACCATATAGTACTGCAGTCTCAAGTAACCCAAACATACAGCCATCTCCATCACAGAACTAAGCAGCCAGTTCTAATGCACTACAAACCAATGGATTAAAGAGGCTTATAGCCAATGCTTTAAGAAGGGAACGCCAGTGAAAACAGCTTTCAAACGTATACCCTGGTAAATGGATGTATTTTTAAACATTAAAACCTTGTTTCAGAAGTTCCCCGCTTTAGGTTGTTACTCAGAAACTCATCATGTTCGAAACTCAAGTTATTATGTGATCTTGAAATCATAAGAAGCTTCTCTTTATTGGTAAAGTCTTTTTTGATGGCAACTTGAGGCACGAGCAACCTATCCATCGGGTCCTCTTTGTTCTCCAGTTTCACATATCCCTTGCTGTTGTTTCGATCTAACCGAGGCCAGCTTGGATGTTTCCGTTGTTCTGCCTGAACAGTTAGAGTGGAGGGACCCCGGTCTAGGTCTAAGGATTTTGAGTGTGAAGAGAGCAAATGCAAGGATGTATTGGACCCAAACTGTCTTCTAGCAGCCCCAGGAGACAAGAGCTGTCCAGCCCCGGGTCCAAGGGCCATAGAGGACTTGTACTGACTTGACAACGACTCCCCAACAGAATGATTCCTGGGGAGCACTGTGCTGAATGGCTGGAAGGACTCACTGGTGTTGGGCAAAGAGACCACAAGGGAATCCATTGACAAATTCCTCGACTTACTTTTGAGGTTATCAGCATCCTCGGTGATGTTATCTATACTGGGCTCGTCAATAACACAGTTATTAAGTTTGATCACAGGCAACGTGAAAGCACTGATGGATGATGACACAATTGACTTGGTTTCACATTTCTTGGAGCTGCTGGTCTTATCCTCGATGGTCTTGGAAGGAGGTGGATAGAGGCCAAAGACAGAGACAGAGCTGTCAGAGAGCAGAGGTGGCATAAGGTGTCCAAAACTCTTATTTTCACTGAGCATAAGCTCATCCTCCTCCATGGAGCTGTCCATCCGGAAACTGCTTCGAAAACCCGAGAAAGAGGCGATCGTGTTTGCTGCCAGTCTCGAGGCACAGGAGCTCCCGTTCTGCTTTACTTCTGTTTCTCCCATCAAGCCAGTGTACATGCCATTCATTTGCTTTTGCTCCTTGATTCTTAGCGTGTGGATGTCAATGACGGTGGAATAGATATCCCTCATGTGTATGATCTTGGTTTCTTTGTCGCGGTTTTCATGGAGAATGGCATTAGCACAGATGAAAATGAAGATGCCAATTCCCATGGTGAAGGGACCGAGCATTTTCATTTTATCAGAATGTAAATGCTGTTCAAAGAAGCGAACCACCACACCACCCTGGTTCCGGATGACCTGAGTTTCATTTGTTGACAGTGTTGTCTCGGCATCGATAAAATGTTCTTTTTGGGGCCAATAGCCAAGGATGGCCATTGCAATTCCTATAATGGAGATAAGCACTCCTAAAATAAGGAAGAAACCAGATGGGGAATAAAGTCGGATTTTGCCTCGAACGACCACGACATCGGCCCGGGGCCGACGCCTGACTGGTTTCTTCTCCTGAGCAGCAGGTGATGGGCTGAGGTTGACATGCTGCTGTGATCTGGCAGAGTCTTGCCTTTTCAAGGCGGCCAGGCCGGTTATCACTCCACCAGTGGCTATCATAGCTCAGCCTTTTGTTCTGAAAAGAAAAGAAAAAGATGATGACCTAAATATGCCCCTGGGGTGTGCTCATCAATTCAATTCAACAATTGCTTACATACAAATTTTGTTACTGTTGTTGTTTCATGTGATGAAATAGAGCAGAAGAATATCTTTTTAATTGACATAATTTTGGTAGAAGTTTTGCTTATTGACTAATGTGAAATTTTGGAAAGCCCCCTTTTCAGCTATGGGAGTGTACCTATTATTGATGGAATGTGAGCTCAAGGTATAGATTATCTCAATAATTTTATCACATCTTATCTAAAACATTCCCCTGACACACATTCCTTCTCTCTCTCGTTCACATACACAAACCTATCACTATCTCTGTGAAAGAAGTAGAAAAATTCAGATTACTTAATAGGTCAAAAACACACAAAACCTAGACTAACAAAAAGAATGCATTCCAGCAATTCCTGGTCCTCAGACCACTCTACTGAAAGTCATCCATGAATTCTTAACTGCCACGTTTAATTTCCCCTTCTCAATTTTCATCTTTCTTACCCCTCCATTTCCACGGACATTACCTGCCCTTCCTTTCTCTATACTTTCATTTTTTCTGGTCTTTTATGATTAAGGCTTCCTGGTTCAACCCTGACCTTGCTGACCACTTCAGCAGTCTCTCCTAAAGTAGACCACCTTCCCCCCTAGAGTCCTGTCCTCGGCTGCCTTCTCCTCTGTATTCTCCCTTGGCGTTCACATCTGCTCCTACATCCTCTGCGATCTCCTTTATGCGAATGAGTCCCAAGTCTATATTTCAGGCCGCATCCTGAGTTTCAGTTTCACATTCTCAACTGCACATTGGGGAACATATACACATTCAGGCACCGCCAGCAAAGCTGAGCTCACCTTCCACCACACACCAGCTCCATGGGTCTTGTCTGCTTTTTAAAATGAGCTTAGTTCTCAGGCTGAGTTCTTTACAGCTGTCTTCAACTCCTCCCTTTTTCTTCCTCTCATCTTCAATCAGGTTCTAAGTCCTAGAAACTTCCACTACGCGATGTCTCTCAATCCCATTGCTCTGTTCCAATTCCTACTCTTCTCAGACCCATGGAGCTCTTACTAACTCTTACTAGACCATTATAATAACCTCCCCACTGATCTTCCAAACTCCAATTTCTCTTCCTTTACAGCCAACCTAATATACAAAGGGCAGATTAATCATCCTAACACACAGTTCTGAAGTTGTTTAAAGAGTGGAATCAAAGGCCAAGCTCGGTGGCTCAGCCTGCCATCCCAGCACCTTGGGAGGCCAAGGTGAGTGGATTGCCGGAGCCTGCGGGTTCGAGGCCAGCTCAGGCAACTTGGCGAGACCTCATCCCCACAATAAATAAAAAATTAGCTGGCTGTGGTAGCGCACACCTGTAGTTCCAGCTACTTGGAAGGCTGAGGGGGAAGGATCACTGGAGCCCAACAGGCCGACACTGGGGTGGCCGTGAGTGTGCCTCTGCATTCCAGCCTGGGCAACAGAATGGGATTCCAACTCAAAAAAAAAAAGAGTGGAATCATGGATAAAATATTCTCTACCACCTACTAAAGTTTAATCTGGTGTTCTAGACCCATTGAGTGTAACTTTAACTATTCCCTTTAATTTGCATAAACCCAAAACCTAATCAATGTTCCCTATTTCTCACTCATATTCCATAGTGTTCTGTTCTGGGATTCTGTTAAGAATGTTTCAGCTGTCCAGAATCCATCTCCCCCTGGCCCCTGTCGCAGCCCCGGTCTTCACATATTGTCCTCTGGTTAGTCATCAAAACTCATATCCCACGTCCTTCATAAAGCTTTCTCTGGTGGACTCTTCACACCTCACACTAGCACTCACTCCTCAGAGCATTTTGGCAAGTTTCAACGCAGTTATATGAAAATGTCATACCTTCTCCACTTCTTATAGCCAAACATCAAATTTAGTTCATATTTTTATTACCAAAAACATTCACTGTAGTACCTTGCACATAGGCAATGTTTAAGAAATATTTGCTAAAATGCTAAATAAGGAAGTAATTCTTTTCCTAGGATCTTCCAGGTGATCATGATATAACTATCCTAACTTTGCTAGTTAAAAATATGAACAAACAACATTAATACCCAAACAAAAGGCAACATTTTGTGAATTGGTAAAATATCTGTCTTGATTTGTAATAAATAGTTCTCAAGCTGCCAAATCTGGCTGGTAGGGAAACAGGATATTTTAAGCCCCACAAGTTCTTTGGCAAATTGCTGAGAGGATTTCTTCAGGGTGTCAAACCTTGTCTTGCAGCATCTAGCTCTCCTTTTGAATTTCTATTTATGATTTCTGAACTGTGTTTAAGTAACAGGGTTGTGGTTGGTATCCACAGTTTTAGCAAGCTGCTGAGTAGATCCAGCCTTTAGTGAAATTATAACTAGGATTAAAATAGTTTAATGTTGGAAGAACAAACTAAATTGTAACCAGTAGCTGTAATCTATGAGATTTATCAAAGTATACATGCTACAGCTTACAGCCTCTCCCAAACCTTTGCTAAAACAAAGCTGAGTGTCAATCTCTGTTTTCTTGAACCCAAACTAGACCCAAATGTTTGAATTAAATGCTCAGATTAGATAGCGACCATCTAGCCCAGTTATTTCCATATGGTGGGATAAGGATTTAGTCTGTAATCCTTCTGAATAGAATGGGAACAGGGACAAAAGCCTTTCATTTAATTTAAAAGCAATCAAAGGAAACTGCATTCCACACCGATTTCCAGTCCTCCCCCACTTTTTAAAACTCATTTTCTATTTCTGAGGCTGATAGAAGAAAGGGGACCAGAAAAAAAATACACTTTTAAAAGGATCAGAATAGAAAGGTGAAAAGGAGAGATGGCTGTCTAGGCTTCCATGTGAGCACACAAAGTGAGCAGGCTAGACTCAACATGAAGAAAAAGCAAGGGTAGCTCAAGAGTGTGAAAATTCATAGAAACAAAAGGAGACAGGAACATCTAGAATAGTTTAGAACTAAAGAATAGAATGGACGGGGAAGGGGCGACCACACAGCTCTTCAGCCAGTCTACCCTGGTCAGGCCCAGGCAGGGGCACCAAGATGCTCAAGGATAAGCAGAATCAGGTTTGGTGCCGATATCTTCCTTTAATTTAGTTCAACACTACTGAATCTCTGTGGTGACTCTGGAACCCAAAGTAGAGCCTGAGGGGAAAACGAGGGTGAGAAAACTCAGTAGGACTTCAAAGAGCCTGAAACTTCAGGTAGGAGCTAATCTACCTACGTAAACCAGGATAAGGTGACTCCTAGAATGGGAGTTTCAATTAGGGGAGAACCTTTCCAACAGGCTTCGTGCAGGAGACTGCACATGGATCAGAGTCAAAAATCAAGGAAGCAGCATTTCAGGGAAGGTCAAGAGAAAGAACGCAGGCCAGGGCCACAAAGAAAGCAGGCTGAGGAACAGAAACCTGGCCTGCCATCAGTACATAGTTCAGTGCTGCAGAGGTCTGCTAGGTGACTATGGCCACAGGGACAGAGAGGGCCAGTTGAAAAGCTGGTGATGCCATTCCTAGATATTTGAATTTTACACACATTTGCCATGGAGCTGGAGTAAGACACAAAGACTGTTGTTGTTATTTTAGGAAAATTAATCTCAACTAGTAGATAACAGTAGTCATGAGGGACTGACATTGGGAACAGCATAAGGACATTAAAGGTGGTTTCACAGGAAGCAACTCAGAGAGAGATTCCACTGGTTTCTGCATCTTCAAACTGCAATGCCTATTGGTCCCAGGTGTTCAGTCTATGTAACAACTGCCCACATCTACTTCTTTATGGATGCTGCAAAGCCCTCTCTCCTCCATCCTATACTTTTGTCACTGTTTTTGTTTGTGTGTGCTTTTCTGTGGTACAGGGGGGGCACAGGAACCCTGTTAACTTGTCTCCTTATGTGACAAATCATGAACTTCTTCTAAGTTTTAATAATAACAACAATACAAATAACAGCTAGCCCACATGCTTATGGTCAGGCACTGTTCTAAGTGCTTTAGGTACAAAATATTTGCTCTCACAACAATTCAGGAGGTGAGTGTAATAATTATAGTATCTATGTGCAGATGAGAAAACAGGCTCAGGCTCAGAGAGTTTAGGTAACTTGTCTAAGGTCATTCAGCTAGGGGGTAACTCCAGAACCTGTGTTCTTCTGGAATTTGAGATGGGTATGAGCCTCCAGAGTTGCTTCTGCTTAAGGTTTTCTTTTCTGAAATTTTATTTTTTCATGTTCTGTCATTTTTACTTATTCTTTTTTAAAGATTATTTTTTAAGAGACAGGGTCTCTTTCTATCACCCAGACTGGAGTACAATGGTGCAATCACAGAGCACTACAGACTTGAACCCCGGCTCAAGTAATCCTCCTGCCTCAGTCTCCCAAGTAGCTGGGACTACAGACATGCACCACCAAGCCTGGTTATTATTATTATTATTACTATAATTATTACTTTTGTAGAGATAGGAGTCTAGCTATATTGCTCATGCTGGTCTTGAACTCCCAGCCCCAAGTAATCCTTCTGCCTAAGCCTCTCAAAGTGTGAGGATTAAAGGCATGTGAGACCATGCCAGATGGTGTCTTGCTATGTTGCCCATGCTGGTCTCGAACTCCTGGTCTCAAGCAATCCTCCTGCCTAAACCTCCCAAAGTGCTGGGATTCCAGGCATGAGTGACCATGCCAACCTTTTCTTCCTATTTTTATTCCTGTTTGCATCATAACACAAGATCCTAAAGAATGCTGCTTTACCTTTGAAACTATGATGCGGACCAAACAACTTCCATTTCTGAAGTTACCATGACCACCTGAGAAATGCCATGGGGCACACATAAGGTTGAAAGTCTGACCTTGGGTGAGCATGTGACCTCTCACACCTGTCTGGAGTCCCTTCAGCGAATGACGATGCTGACTCCAAACAGACCACTCTACTTCCACATCATCCTCTTTACTCTCTATCGTCTCTGACAGCACAGGGCTG